AGGAAATAAGAAACGAGACAGGAAAGGGGAGACGGGGAGGGGAGGTTTGGCAGGCAGAAAAAAAAAAGAAAAGAAAGGTGAAATAAAATAAAAGGGGGGAGGAGGAAGACGGAGGGAACGGGGGGAGAGAGGACAGGGGAATACATGTGCTAAGAGAAACAAATAGAGGTAGTTTTGAAGGAACAGGTGAGGGTGAAAAATGGTGACTCCGTCCTCCGCACTCCGAGTGTTTATTTGAATGTTTTAGAAGAAAGAACAGAGTGATGCATGATGATGTCACAAAGAGAGAGAGAGAGAGAGAGCATTGTTCCTGTTCTAAATTAGTCAGGGAACATGGCATATAAATATGTAACATAATATATCTCATTAATGACCATTAAGGCGTGAAACTACATTTTAACCCCATTTTTTACCCCCCCAACCCAAGACCAAAGTCCGCGGATAAAATCAGTGGTTTTGTCTCAGGTGGACACCAGAACATTAGTTCTACGCTAACGCACTAATGGAGGCAGCATGGGATCAACACTTGCTCTGGTGCTACTATTTTTAAACCTGTTGATTTTCTCCACGTACTTCTCTGTGAGAGCGCAAATACTTCGAAAAAAAGTACATGGAAGGGAAACAAACGAGAGCTGACTGATATCGCTAGCTGCGGGGCCACTGAAACGTGTCAGTCGCCGTGAGTTGAAAGTCGGGCGTTAGTGCGTCGTTAGAAGGTCTGACACTGACATACGTCAACGCTAGTCAACGTTCCAGCCGCCAGCTGTTTGATTGGATATCGACAACGGCCGCCGAGGCTTTGATTGGCTATCACACGAGCCATTAGTTTAACAACAGGCGGCGCGTTCCTGCCCCATCTGTCTGCCACTGTTGGTGTGTTCTGATACACACACACACACACACACACGTGTTTCTCTCTGTCGTTGAGACATGTCTGTTGTAAAGTACTCAAGGCTAATGGCTATTCTGTCAGGTTTTCTGCGACTGGAATAAAGGTGAGGTCGTTAGAAGCAGCGGTTAAGACGACTGTGCTAACATTAGTGTCACTTTCTAAATGTGAGTTAGCTATTTAGTCAGTGACTCAAGTCAGTGAAGAGTGAGTCAGCAAGTTACACCAGTGACCAGAAGGGGGGGTCAAACAAAATGCCAAAAAAAAAATCATTTTTTGGCAATTATTATTTTTTATTAGCATTTGCCGTAAATGTAAAATACGTAAAATATCGCCGGATTCTCAAGTTTTCAATGTTACCTGAAAGCACCTTGTGCAACTTTGGTGGGACAAAATCAGAATCTGCGTAGACCTGGCAGTTTGTGCCCGTTATCAAGCTGCTCTGGTCCTCAAGCTAGTGTATAGCTAGCTAGCGCTAGCACTTTTTTTGACAAGAAAATCGACCGAAGGAACAGACCAACACTTGGTTTATTTAGTGAGAACTTATAGAGCTGACAAAATGTTTGTTCCGTGCTGTTTGGTAGGATGGTGGGGGGAGCGAGTTAGACAACAGGTACGATTTTGAGCAGGAGACCAAGTGACTTACTCAAAGATTAAGTAAGAATCTTAGTCATTAAAGGAGAAACCTATGACTTCAAAGCTAACTTTGATCATTTCTCGGTGAAGTTGGTGAATTGTAGCCATTTCTCACCCAGGTTTCAGATATCGTTTCAAATTTTGTTTTTGAACCTTCTGTTATTTTCTGGTTCAAGTGAATGATTCCTTTTTATTTTTAGCATATTTTATGCTAACTCTATGTTACTGGTTGCTGCTGAGTGGCTAATGTAATTGTCAGTAGATGGCGCAGTTATCCTAGATCTAGATCTATTTTTCAGCTACTGTATTTGTTAGACCAGTGTTTCCCAAACTTTTTTTCTGGCGTCCCATATTTGACAAGTCACAAACCTTCGCGACAGACATTATTCGTAAACTCCCGGGAAACATGATGCGAGACGACCCCAAAAAATAAATCTCTTGCGACCCACCTGAGGGACGCAACCCAGTCTTTGGGAAACAATGTGTTAGATGACATTGAAAATCTTTTTGCATTCATTCTTTTTTTTTTTTTTTTTTGAGTTCTGCTAGCTGTTGGCTAATTGCGAACCGCATTTGTTTAATTCCGTGCCTGTACGTACGTTGAACAGATTGGGTCTGATAGGCTTATCTCTGTGTCAGTCTGTCTCTCTGTGAGGGTGTGTGTGTGTGTGTTAGTGTGTGTGTGTGTTGGTGTGTGTGTGTTGGTGTGTGTGTGTGATACAGTAGATTTCCTGGGTTTTTTGTTTTTTTCAGATTTGGGAGTGTTTGTGTGTTTATTGTATTTTCTCACCATACATGAGTTGTCAGAATGGTTTACAACAGTCTGTGTGTGTGTGTGTGTGTATATGTGTGTGTGTGTGTATGTGTGTGTGTGTGTGGTCTCATACTGTCTGACGCTGATTAAAAGTGAGAGGTTTTTGATTGCCTGGACCCACAGTGGAATTATTAGCATAGAAGGCAGTTTAACACACAAACACACACACACACACACACACACACATATGCACACACTAACACAGGAGGGGTAATTGAGCATTTCCCTTCTCCATTACATGAGGCAGCGTCTCCTCACTGTCGTTCTAACAGACGACGATTCACTGTTTACTCTCAATATTCAAATGTATGTAAATGAGACGCAGAAACAGATGAATGAGCCTGTTTGTGTTTGTAAACCAACGTCATCCTCCGCGTGCGTGGGCGGGCGGGCGTGCGTGCGTCTCTGCAATAAAATTTTCTCCTCTCAATCGCCGCTCTTTAGAAAGAGACCCTACTTCATTTTCAATTCTCATTCCCCTCATTTTATCTAATAAGTGTGAAATTAGTCGACTGGTGCTGCGACCATGTGACCGCCCGCAGCCAACAAGAGGCTGAAAGAAAACAGAATGGGCTGAGAAGGCTTTAAAAGGGAGATTAGGGCGTTTGAATGACTTTAAGAGATGATAAAAAAAGAACAAATGCTAACATGAACAAAGCTAACATGTAGCATTTTTATATAGGTAGCGTTTATACCAGGGGCTGGATTGCAAATAGCATAAAAAAAATTAAAAAACGAGAATAAAGTCATACATTTATTAGAATAGAATTGAAATGTTAGGAGAAAAATAATATTTAATTCAATAAGAAAAAAAGTCCAAATTTGTGTTTTTTTTTTTCTTTTGAATAAGCATCAGGCATCATTAAAATGGTTGCCTTTACCGAAGAAAAAAAAAAAAAAAAAAACGGACAAAGTTTCTGATTGTACGAAATCACAAACATCTATTATTCACTAAGGTCAACAGAATTTATTAAACATTTGTGTCTAACGTTGTGATTTTTTTTTCAAATAAAATGATCACTTTTTGTCTCATAACGTTTAAATTCAATTCTCATTAATTCATTACTTTAATTCCATTATTTTTTTTTTTTT